TTTCAACTTTGAAAGTTTCAAAATTGAAATATTTCATTTAGTTGGAAAAGTGAAATTGTGAAAAATTTCAAATGAAATTTTTATCCGAAAATTTCAACATTGCATGTGAAAATTTCGAATAAATTTTACATGCGGGCCGCATGACATTTAGATAATAATAATTTACAACAGATTCCGAATCGACCAATAAGAACGAGTTATCAAGCATCTGGGCGTTTTTGTTTGGTTCGGCTTGGATTTGAATACATTATTAGTAGCTATTGTTACTTATATGCAGGGTTGGTATAAATTAATTTAAATAATTTAATTCCGTTACCAATTTAATTTGTAAATTAAATCAGACTTTAAAAAAAGTAATGATTAATTTAAACTTTTACTTTTGCTATAATTGCATCGGAAAACGGATAAAAAATGCCTTTGACTCATAAAATTTTGATAAGGTTTTTTCAATTTTCGTAAAATTTCAGTAAAATATATAAAAACAATATATTAATAAATATATATAAATATAAAACAATGAAAGTGGCACAATCTCATTAGCTTACCAAAAAGTGTTATATCTCTTAGTTTTGGGAATTTCAAAAATATTTTAAAAGGACAACTCAAGAAATTTGTGATAAATATTTACTATTTATATTATTGGTGGTCAGTGGCCCACAGAGGGGTAGGAGGTAAGAGAGGCAATTTGCCATGGGCCCCGAGTGGGCTTATTTCAATATTAATATATTACACTTAAAGTGATTGAAATTTATTGAAACTTTCAATGAAATTTCATAAATTTAGGAAATTGTAGTAAATTTCAAAAAAAATTCAAGTACAAGCAAAAAGTGAAATTTTCCTAACCCTAACCCTGTACAATCGAAAAAATAATAATCAGCTTCATAAGACCTTTTAGGTAAATGATATGTCACGTGACCCACTACATACTTTTTAAATGTGACCAGTTTAATCCATACATACATGTCCGAAAGGTTACCTTTAAAATATTACAAATTTCAAAAATAAAATTGTTAAATGTTGGAAATTGTACTTTTTTTGGTTCCTATACTGTATCTAAAAAATAAGTTGTTGGTTAGAGTCATCTTGCAAAGACCTTTTCAATGATTTTTTTAACCTAAAAAAGTAGAATTTTAATGACTATTTAAAATACTAATATTTCCAATTTCTAAATCCAGCAGAACAAAAAAAGAGGGGAGATTTTGACGCGCTCACTGAAAGTTTAAACTTTAATAAACCACACATATTTAAAAGGATCTCTTTATTTCTTCTCGTATTTTAAGGATATATCAGTTTTTTTGGTAAAGTTTAGTTAAAATCTTTTTTAATAAAAATTTGTGTAATTCCTAATTTCAATAATTATAATTATTGATTAATTAATTATAATAAATAACACTGTGCAACACAAAAAATGAACTGGGATCAAATCTGAAAAAATCGAATCTAGGCAACCCTCAAAAAAAATCCTTTAAGGGGTTTTACCAGTTTAGCTCGAATAATGGAGATATACATATATATATGTACAGGGTGTTTCTTTTAACTTGAGACAGCTCAAGAAATACGCATTTCACGGAAAAATGTCTTAAATAAAAGGTTAATGTGACTAAAGGGGACATTATTTGGTGCTACCGCTAGCCACCCCCCTACCCCCCCTTAAGGGTGAAACGGGGGGTAACTTTGGAAAGTCAAATGGAATGACCCGATTTTTTTCACAGAGTTTGGTAGTACATAAAAAAATAAATAACTTTTATTTAAAATTGTTTTCAATTTATCAACAGATGGCGCTGTAATTCAAAATTTAAGAAAAATGAGTTTCCTTGTAAAATGTATTATTTGAAACAAAAATTAACATTAACAACAATAGTCGGCTATGAAAACAATTTATAACAAATGTTCGAAATGTCGTCATTCCATTTCAACACATTTTTGAATGCGGGTAATGAATTCTGGCACACAACGCGCCAACATATCGCCGCACAGGCGTTCCTGATCCGCTCCACCATGTCCTCCCAAGTTGTAGGAATTGCAGCGTAAACTTTTTCTTTCAAGTAACCCCACTGGAAGAAGTCTGGTGGCGTAAGATCAGGTGATCGAGCAGGCCAAATTACTGGACCACGTCTACCGATCCACCGCGGTGCACCGGCCATTGAACTCCCGATCCAACACCTCTCGAGCAATTGTCGAATAATGTGCTGGTACCACATGTTTTGGAGCCCTGCTAGTGGTCCTCCTCCAAAAGGTCCGTCAGATCGTTTTCTAGAAAATTCCGGTACTTTTCGCCATTTAATGCACCGTCAATAAAGAAGGGTCCGATTAATCGTTCGCTTAAGGTACCGCACCAAACGTTTACCGACCAGAGACGCTGGTGCTCCACTTGGTGTCGAAATGGAAGGACGACATTTCGAACATTTGTTATAAACTGTTTTCAGAGCCGACTATTGTTGATTTAATGTTCATTTTTGTTTTTCAAACGTTTCAAATAATACATTTTACAAGGAAACCCCTTTTTCTTAAATTTTGAATTACAGCGCCATATGTTGATAAATTGGAAAAAACTTTCAAATAAAAGTTATTCATTTTTTTATGTACTACCAAACTCTGTGAAAAAAATCGGGTCATTCTATTTGACTTTCCAAAGTTACCCCCCGTTTCACCCTTAAGGAGGGGTAGGGGGTGGCTAGCGGTAGCACCAAATAATGTCCCCTTTGGTCACATTAACCTTTTATTTAAGACATTTTTCCGTGAAATGCGTATTTCTCGAGATATTGAGCTGTCTCAAGTTAAAAGAAACACCCTGTATATCTCCATTATTCGAGCTAAACTAGCAAAACCCCTTTAAAGATTAGTTTTGGGGGTTGCATAGATTCGATTTTTCCACATTTCATCCCAGTTCAAATTGTAAGGTCAAAATTTGTCGCACAGTGTAATCAATCCTTTTTTAATTGTCAATTTTAAATTTGAATTTAAATCACAAGTTTTATAATTTTAATATTTTAAAGTCCATATATTTAAGTCAAATGAAAAATGTTAAAAAATTTATTTTTAATTTAAAAGTTAACGGGTACATTTGCACTGTCAATAGATTACACAAAAAGTAATCCAGTGATTAAAACTAATAGTACAGTCAATAGAGAAAAAAAGTTAAATCCGACACTAACAAAAAATGGATTCGGGGCCAAAAATAACCGGACAAGGGTGTTTACCCCCAGAGACGTAAGATTGCTAACAAATATTGATTTTACAATATTTATAGCAAATGTTATGCCGAAATAAAAAATGTGCAAAATTGTTAGTATTAAGATATCATTTTAAATATTTTATGGCACTACATTAACTATAAGTTTGAAGCTTTAAAACTGTCGTTAAATGTTGAATTATAATATTTGAAATGATATCTTAATACTAACAATTTTGCACATTTTTAATAATTATTTAAAGAAACCTTAATAATATTTCATACATAATTGAAGGGCTAGTGGATAAAGGGTAACTATTTAAGTTTAGAATTAATTTGGTATTGCAATTATATTTTTTGTTTGATGTTGTCATGTTACATTTAAGTTCAAAAAGAATATACAATATTGTGATTGTAAATAAAAAAAATATTGTTATTTTGTAAAATATTGTTTGTCCTTTATTATAAAAAATGTTACTTAACACCTTAAATTAAATTGTCCAAAAGAAGTTTCACTTCAGCTATGTGGTCCAAACGCATATGTGTTTTTATTTATTTTATTGATCGCATACAACTTGAATTTTTCTACAAAATAAATACAAATATGTATGCTCATTAGGGTGTTTCAAAATAAGGCAACATTTTTCTTTTTTTAAATTCATGTAAAATTCTCGTCACTTATGCTAAAAAAATATTCTGTCAAAATTTGAGCTCTTAATATTAATTTTAAAAGGTCCATCATCGAATTTAAAGTTTTCCCATTGATTTAACATGAAAAAATAGTATTTTAATATTTATTTCGCCTGCATGCTATGTAGAACTTTTTTTTTGATAAACAATTACTGGTCCTTTTTTAGCATTAAATTATCTACAAAAAATCGTACTGAGTCCAGTCTGTAGATTCAACTGTTTCTTTTTTATTAACGTTGAAACGTATAAATTAAAAAAAAAAATTGATATTTTTACATTTAGCGGCTAAACTACAAATCGTAGAAAAAAAGTCAATTAGCAATTTTGAAGATCGTTTAATGTTCTACAAATTTGTTTTCCTCAATTTTTTTATCATCTACAGTTCAAAAGTTATAAGTGTCTAAAATCCCATTTTCATGATTTTGCATAAAATATTATTATAATATTTACTGTAAAAAGTTTAGGGACAATTTTGCAAAAATTGTTTAAAACAATTTTGTAGAGCATTAAAAGATCTTTAAAATTGCTAATTAACTTTTTCTTCTAATAAAAAAGAAAGAGTTGAATCTGGACTCTATAAGATTTTTGGTAGATAATTTAATGCTAAAAAAGGTTTATCAAAAAAAAAAAGTTCTACATAGTATGCGGGCGAAATAAATCTTAAAAACCTATTTTTTCATGTTAAATCAATGGCAAAATTTTAAATTCAGTGATGGACCTTTTAAAATTAATATTACAGACTGGACTATGTAAGATTTTTTGTAGATAATTTAATGCTCAAAAAGGACTAGTGATTGTTTATCAAAAAAAAAAGTTCTACAAAGCATGCAGACGAAATAAATCTTAAAAAACTATTTTTCCATGTTAAATCAATGGAAAAATTTTAAATTCGATGATGGAGCTTTTAAAATTAATATTAAGAGCTCAAATTTTGACAGAATTTTTTTTCAGCATAAGTGACAAGAATTTAAAATGAATTTGAAAAAATAAAAATATATTGCCTTATTTTGAAACACCCTAATGCCCATGTATGCCAGTTACTGAATCTCTAAGTTTTTGAGTTCACATTCAAATATAAGACTGTTCTATGTTTCAAGAACTCAAATGTAAACAAGACAATTTGTTTTGGAATACTTACGTTTGCATTCGAATGATCCGTCTGGCTTTATCACAGGTGTCTTTTCGTAACGGCATATGCAGACTCCGTCGCGGCATTCCATTTGAAAACTTACCGCTTCGCATTGTTCGTTGAACGTGCAAGACTCATTTATTCGGCTGGCTACAACGGCAGCGATAAAAAAAGAAACAGATCATTACTATAGATGCAACAGCATATGAATGAGTACAATAAGGCGAAATATCTGAACAAGGCTTTGGTTTTAGATGTTTTTGTTTAAAGCATCCACCTCATGATTCTAATACACAAGTCAGAAAGGGCATGACACACTCTCTAAAAATGAATTAGTCAAAAATTACTAATTTAGTAGTTATTACTGGCTGCTTTTTCACTTGTACCATGGTTAACCATGGAATACCATAGTATCCCAAAATTTAACACCCAATTCTTATGTAAAATTGTCCCCGGAATCCGAAAATATCATCAAAAATTATAAAAGTAGAGCAGTTTTTGAGATATAGTTAATTCCATATTAAATGGAAAATTGACTATATCTCAAAAACTTTTCTACTTTTTTAACTTATGACGACATTTTCCGATTAAGGGGACAATATTACATAAGAATTGGCTGTTAAATTTTGAAATACCATGGTATTCCATGGTTAACCATTGTACAAGTGAAAAAGCAGCCACTAATAACTATTAAATTAGTCATTTTTGACTAATTCATTTTTAGAGAGCAAAGAATATACTTCTATTAATTTATTTTTAGTTAGATTAAATTATGAATATTAAAAAGTCTTAAAAAGGATAATAATAACATAAACCATATTTCAATCTGGTTTTGAATCAGACAGATAAAGAAGATAATTTCATGAATTCTTAACAAGAATTAATAATTTAATTAAAAAAGAAACAAATTTTATTTGTTTTTTATATTTATTTATAGACTAAAAACAAATTTCTACGTAGGTTTAGTAAAAAAATTCTTAACACTATGTATGATGCGTTATTCCATAGTATAAAGTATTCAGTTTAAATTATGAAAATCTGGATTTTGAATTCAAACATTAATCCAAAATAAGGCTTATTACAGAATCGACGGCTAATATATTTATAGACTAAGTAAAAGTTAAAGAGGCTCCTGTAAATTGCCTTTCTGGAGGTACTGCTGTTCCCAGAAACTCTAAAAAAACTAAATAAATATGTTGATGTCGATTCTACCATTCCTTTTCAAAACTACTCTGGATTCCACAAAATATTTTTCCTTTTTCTGCTTTCAAGGATCTATCAGGGTTCTTAGTTTTTTTATAGACATGTTATGTATAAATCGAACTCTTTGTCTTTAAGGTAGTTGTCGTGGTACAATATTGTCAAAAAATTTTAGATTATACGCACCGTAAAAGTATACGAGCTTGTAGCTAAGTGATTCATAATTTGTTCGCAAGACTGTACCCTGGAGACGTTTCTTTTACGTAATACTTTCAAATATTTTCATAAGTTTTAATCCGGAACGTCGCTTATGCTCAACCAATAGATGTATTGGAGACTGAATCAGTCCGTTTAAATTTACTGCGGAAATAATATCTATACACGCGTACAGCCTTGCCAAGTTGTTTTTATCTGACACTAGTGATGTATACTTTTTACAAATTGTTGAACTTTAAACGGTTATTTATAAACAATTGGACGGTCAAAAATTTTTAATTATTTTTTTTTAAACTCAGCAAAAATACATTAAAACACTGTTAGTTTTTTGAAAGCTTCTGACAGTTATTTTTTTCTGTATAACTAAGAAACTGGTACAGAACTACAGAAAGCCTATACAATCCATGTTAATTATCCAATTTTTAATTGAATTTATCTCGGGTTATAGACGGTCAATCGACTTCAAATTTTAAGGATATATGTATTGTCATGTCCTTAATAAGTATACAAAAATTTAAAATTTTCTGATGGTATGCTTATAGCACGACAACTACCTTAAAATCCTTATTCTCATTATTTAATTAGATTTGGACTTTCTTTTAATGCCGTTATAATCGAGATTAGCAATCTTAACAGTTATTTAAGTTGATGCTTTTATTTTTATTAATGTTATTGTCACTAATTTCAAGATTATCACAATCGCTAAACATTTTGTGTTCTGAACTGACTACTCTCTTAAAATGAATTAGTCAAAAATAACTAATTATAAGTCATATTTGACCAATTGTCATAGTGAAAAAGCAGTCACTAATAATTAGTCAAATTCCACCGAATGAAATAGTCAAATTAGTAAATTTAAATTTAAAAAAAGTTTTGACCCAGCCTGGGATTGAACTCAGGTCTGTCACTTGACAAGTTTGTCAAGCTAACCTCTTAACGCATTCGGCTGTCAGCCGCTCTTATAAAAATTAATTTTATTTGTCAATAAATATTGTTCATAATATTTTAAAGTTTAATATATTATTTGTGATGCTATTTTGAGCTAAACTTTTTGCATCTTTATTTGTTTTATGGGTCATTTAACCATGGAGAGGTATATGCATTTAATTCAAATAATATTTTGTTGTTGGCCGTAAACGACTAAAGAAATTAGTTACTTTTAACTGTCAGAAATAGTCAAATATGGTGACTAATATTAAATATTAAATAAATATTAAATAAACGTGACTAATATTAAATAAACTTTAACTATTTACATAGTAAAAAATAACTATTTAAAAGTGAAAACGACTATTTTATTAGTAAAAAATGCTGGTACTAATTCAAATAGTAGAATTTTGACTATTTCATTTTTAGAGAGTACACTGTCCAAAATTTCATGACCATTTTAACATCAAATTAACACCAAAATGGTGTTAAATATGGTTCGTTGGTCCAGTGTAAATTCAAATACTAAAATAGTGTAAATTTAACTTTCACACAGCATTAAAATAAATTTTACCTGGTGTAAATTGAACTCCTTTTCAGTGTTAAATATTATATGTTTTTGGTCAAATTAAATCATACTACAAAGAAAAAAGGAACATAAAGGAAACAGGAAGCATTACCAGTGGTATTATTCCAGAAAATTGAAAAAATGAACCTTCAACTCGCTAGAGATAATGTTTTTAGTGCGTTCCATCAACTTAAAATACTTCAAGTATTGACAGCTGTTTCCACCTATTTAAGGTCTCTTTAGTATACTATAGTGACACTATAGTGTCACACCAAAGCAAAGGACTACCTGAGCTTATATACTCTTCATGTAAGTCAACAGAGGCGAGATTTAAGAACATCACGTGATCCACACCGCCTTTGCCGCGATCGGTACACCAACCAGGAGTGCAAGGCAAATTGTTTTAATCGTTTTAACAGAGTGCTTTAGGTTGAAGTAACTCTTATTTTACAAACAACATATTTAGTAAACTGAACCAAACAGCGGGTGGGTTTCACTAAAGTTTTCTGGGTTAATTAAAAAATGTGGTTTAGTACCATCAAACTAATCTTTGTTTATATTAACCTTCCCACATTTGATTTAAATAAATACTTATGGGTCAATTAAATTAATATAGTTAAATGAACTATTCCTTTTTTTCTGTGTAGGTGCACTTCTCAAATATTTTTAGATAAACACCGTTTTGGTGTTTTCTGTATATAACATTTTCAACCATAATTTATGGTATTTATATTAACACCACTTGGTGTTGGATTTTGACACCATTTTAAGATTACTCTTTACACCACAGATATTGTAAACAGTGAATGTTACCATAACTACTTACACATACATATATTATTATAATATTATCTAGTTACCATTTATTAGATAATTACCATCAAATTTTAATTTAAAACGTGCTCTTTAACCAACCCCACTGCAGCTGCACTCCTAATAGATGTCAAACTGGGATTTACCGAACGAAGACCGAGATTTACTGCTTTATAAAAAAAAATTAAGTTTTTTAAGATTCCTAAATCAAGACAAGAAAAAGGTCAAGATTGTCGGTATTTTTTTGACTTTTTTTATTAAGTTAAGGCAAAAAGTTTATTTAAGGACAAAATTTGTTCTCTTGTCGACCCCTAAATTGGACCCCGTTATGCAACAAAGAACCAAACAACATATTTGCAGTTACGAGAAAATGAGGAAAAACGTTTCAGACTTTTGATTAAAAAATGTATTTATAAAAACACTTTTAAACTGAACAAACGCTATCATATTTTACTATATATGAACAGAACAATAATTTTAATGAACAAAACCACTTAAAAAGTTATTCCAAGTATGGAAAAAATCACTTTGGTCCGCAACCAAGTATAAATATATAATAAAAATTAATAAAACTTACGTATGTAAAAAATTAATGTTTTACTCTAAGAAAAACACTTGGTTCTATATTGCAGAACAGGAAAAAATATATTATTGGTCAAAGTCAAAGTCTAACTCGCCATTATAACCGTCTATGTCTTCCTCTATTGAAGGGTCTCCTATTAGACTCGTATAAAAATTATGATCAGCCTCAGGAATAGCTGCGAATGTAATCTAGTTTTGGCTGAGCCACTGGTTTCCCGTTTGACCATAGCGATTCCAGTAACTGAGAAAACTGTACGTCTAAATCCTTTGATTTTTTTCTCTTCCTTATATTTATTTCTTTATATTCAGTCTCATCAACATAGTCCGTTTTTATAAAGATACTAAATTTTTTTTCTCTAATAAGTTTTATTTCTTTTATATGGAGCCTATTAACTTTTTCACATTTACAACTTTTCTTTCTGTTAACAATTACTTTTTCTAATGCCCTAGTGCTAACGAAATCATCTTTTTTTATTTCATGTACGTCAATGGGTCGCTTCTTTTTACATGTTTTCATGATGTTTATGTAATCTTGAGGGCAAAATACTTTATTTTGTCTCTTAATCGCGCATTATACGTGACCGAAGTCGCTATCCCCAGGTAGAATACTGACGTCTGCTGACGTTTAAATGACGTCTTCTGACGTCAGCAGACGTCAGCAGACGTCAGTGTGTTACCTGGGTCGTTCGGTAGGAAACTATGACCAGACACCAGAAACCTTAATCTAATACTTTTTAAATGTACCGAATCCTCAAGAATACTTTTTAGCAAGAGAGCCATTTTTATATTGCGATTCTGGCCACCGCTGGAATCGCTCCAGAGATTAAATTCCGTTAAAAATATT